GGTATTCTTGAGTCATTTCTCCCAGAAAATGAAAGAAATTCAATAATCTATCCGGGCCATCCATTTTCAGTGTTTTATGGCCTTGGGAAGGTTCTCTTTTCCCCTAAAGACCAACTTCAGTCTCTTGTGTTGCCATATTTTTAGAGTAACCCCATCAAGACATGCTGAATTTGCATAAATGCCACCTTACACAATCTGCCAACTCATAAAGCATTTATTCCAATTCAAACTGGCTTGACCACAGAAAACCCTTGAAATACTCTTATTAGAGTGTTCACATGAAAACAGGCAGCAGACAGATTTCCAGCAGGCAAGGCCCTGACAGTGACAGCAGGCAGGGTGGAAACCACACACACGGTGCTATGGGCCAGTGTGATCTTCCTTAGTAACAAATGTAAACAGGACAGAATCTGTGATAAAGACTGACTGGAGATGTGCCAATCTTCATGTTTCCCTGATAACAATACCTCCTGAGGAACACTCAAAATTAAACAAGCATGCCCAAAGGACTTTAGCTAAACAATAGACCCTGACAAGGGCTGAAAAATTAAGTGTCAGACTGTGGAGGAGAGGAAGATAGAAACAAGGAGAAACAAAGTGATAATGGGTCTATTAGGTAACAGTGTAGAGCTCAGAGTTATTAAGAAATCATAGAAAATTTATGGGGTGAAAAGGCAGCTCTCCAATAATCACTCAAAGTACCCTTTGATGTAATACCCTGAGGTCCTGAGGGATTTTCCTTAGAACAATACTGTCTTTCTGTGCCATCAGTTTTATTTGAGAATAGTCAGCCCTGCTACTCCTAACAGATCATTTTTTACTAAGTTATTCACGGTCATTTATAAGAGCTTATCTTTCTTCTTCCAGAGTTCCAACGTGGCACTAATTATGTCTCGGTCTGCTCAGTGTTCACCTGTCTCTGATTATATTGATGCCCAACAGGTATCTAGTTACAATAAAAACACTGTGTCAAGCTTGCCTGCGTGAGCTGACTGCGAGATTTAATAACACATTTATAAACTTAAATTTCCTCAGGATTTGACTACTTTTCAACCTTTCCAAGTAAGAATGCTTTTCATTGTCCTCCCAAAGATACTAAAATAAAATCAACTCTAGGAATTGGGAGTGGCTTTGAAAGTGTGACCCATGAGCTTGGGGAGGGCTTCAGAATGAGCACAGGTAAGATCTTTAGTCATCAAGGTATTCACAGAAGATAGCCATCTTCTTAATCTAGCAAAGTGTCATTCCCCTCTGCTTCTAGGCTTACTTCGATTCAATTTTGTGACTTTTTCTTGGCCAGGAAGGTTAAATTTGTTTTTACTTCTTCAAGAGAATGGATTATAAATGTGGCAGAGACCTAGTAAAAGATTTTGCCATCAGAATATTGCAAGAACGACTTCTCAAGCACAACATTCAAGAGGATGCAGTATCTCTGCTCTACCATTCACAAAGGGATGTGTCTTCCTCTATACCCTAGCTCACTGTTCAGTGGTAACATGATAAAAAATGCTCATTCTTTGGAAGGTGATGAGTTATTTAAAGTCAAGTCTATTAATATGGCTATAAATCCTCTTATTTTCCAGCTGAGAGCTTCACCTCCTTGCAGGTTTCAAGTTCAATTTCATCTATGAGTCAATATCTAGAATCATGAGAATCAATCGCAGACAATAAACATGTCTACGAGGTAATGGGAGAGAAGAATCTCATATTGCTCCACGCACTGCTTAGTGCAAGGAACTGAGAAGATGGAAGTTTAGGATGCTATTTAAAGCCTTGATGCTAGTTATCATCACTATAAGACTAGCAAGAAGGGTGCCTGTCCGATGAGCCTCAAGGATCTCACATAGCTCATTTGGCTACTCACCGATGCTGATCAGGTACCAGGTGAGGGGGCCAGACCCGGGAACGGAAAGGCTGCTGTCCTAGCTGCCGTTGTAGGTCCGGTGGGATCTCAGCTGTAGGGTTGGTCATGGCCAGTGTATGTCTTTTGGACCTATTTGCCAAGTACCTGCAACAAGCAGGAGCACATTTCATAGTAAAAAAGACAGACAGGGATATTCCTCAGCAAGAAGCATTAGAAGTTAATCCAAAGCACTCAGAATGAAATAGTGTCAGAGCTCAAAAAGGGCTCGATGGCAAACAGATCCCTGGCTGGATGAAAGTGAAACATGTCCAACTGGCCAACAAAAGTTGGCTTACCACTGAAGTGGCTGAATTTGGGGCCTAAGAGTAGCCACTGAAGAGAAGAAAAAAGCAGATGTAGCTCACAAAGAGGGTTGATTTTCCTTACTTCAGTCCACTCAACAGAAGAATTTACTTTCTACTTGTTAATTTTATTCCTCTTTTCACTCCAAATTTCCAAAAATGTAAGTCAGAGAAAATGAGCCCTAAGGATTGTTCATAGAGATGAGCCAAGGGAGATATTCAGAAGGGTCCCACATGTCTCTGGACCCCACTGGCCTCTAGGTTTTGAGATTATCCTCACTACACGTCATGGAAAACAGATCCTTCCATTCTGGGATAGTAAATTCCCAAACCACCTCTTCCCTCATGCCTCCTGATTGTAACTCAATCATAGAGAAGACAAACTGATGTTGTTCCCAGGGAACGAACATTCTCTAGAGGATGAAGACATGAAACCACATGGCATGTTTAGAATTGTTTTTAAGGGGGGAAAAAAGGCAAGGCAAGAAAACAGAAATTTCAAAAGCTGAAGAGTTGACAAGCTGCTGACGTTTATTCTGCAGATCTTTCAGATCCACTTGGCCAATACCATTAATGAGATATTGGTCCCCCTTCGTTTGGTTGATGCCTTCCTACACCACTGCTGCTCTTCTTGGGCATGCATAAAAGAAGCATTATTCCTTTTCATTACCTCAAAACTAACGGGCTTTAAATGTTGGTCTAAAGAAGAAAGATGGTGGAGATGGAGGAAGTAAAGCCCAAGATAAAGAAGACAAAATGAAATACTGCTATCTAATTCAAGTAGGGAGGCAGTCAGTTTCCTAATTTCTCTACATGACACCAGCAGGGCCCATTTGCAACTTCATATACCCTGTTATCAGTAAACTATAGAAACAACGAAATCAAGAGGTAAAAAGGTTACCACCATTTTTCTTCTCTTGGCTAAGCTGTAGAAGGAGCTACCCCGCCTGCTACACCCATTCTCCACTCTTCCTTCCACATGGGATCAGCTTCTTCTGGAACAGCAGCTCTCATACAGACCGTACTGGCCAACCACCACCAGGTTCTTAAAAAGTGCTCTTGTTTCATTCTTAAACACTTTGCCCATTTACGTTAAAAGCAATTAACAGACTACAGAGTAATTAGTGGTATGTAAACTTTGCAGAGTAAGCCATTAGTGGTTTAATATCCATTTGATAAAGACACCCAAAGTTTCCCCAAGAGCCCATGAAAACCATTTTATTTCCATTTCCCTCAAGGGAAAAACATTATCTTGAAGAACACCTGTATTTCTGGGAAAATACATGCTGGATTCTGGTCAATCCCTCATCCCCAGAAAATAAGAATGACAACGCCCATGAGGGGCATGCATGGAGCTGAGGACCATGGCTAATGGAACTGAGGTAAAATGAACAGTACAGCATGCCTGATGGTCACTGCCGTTCTCTGTGAAAATAGGCATCGCTCAACAAGATTCTGCAAACCATGGATATTTGCATCTGTCCCTGGCCCGAATTCCATATTCTTTTTTCAATATCTCTTTGTTGGTACAAGGGGATGAAAGAAACATACAGCAAACAGTACAAGAGGTATTCATTCTCCTGGAAAGGAAGAGTCCATGCCAGAGGTCCATGGCCAGACTAGCTAGGATCACTGTCATCCCAAATCTCCAATTCCTTTTCAGTAAGCAGTTCTTGGCAGGTAGGAGCAGGCTTTGTGCCTTGGAATACTATCAGAGTTGCAATATGAAGGCAGAGGGGCAAGGAAGGAAGGAGGGAGGAGAGAAAAAGTTATTGCTGTCACTTAGGGGGCTTCCAATGGCGCTTACAGAAATGAAATTTTCTGGGTAGTCTTCTGTTACTTCCATGTGGGGAGGAATATGCCATCTGGCTTGAGCAAAGAGACCACACAAATGTTGAAGCTGCACTGTACCACCTCCTTGGGCAGAGGTGACCTTTCGTTGGTTGCAGGGGGAGTCTGCCCAAGGATGCTCTGCAAGCACTGCCAGATGCCACATTACCTCTGCACAGCTTCCTGATCTGGCTCCCCATCTGAGCTCTCCTCGTCCACAGGGGTAACTGCGGGCACTGCCTGGAAAGAGACAGAAAGGAACAGCTCAAGGTGGCGCTTTTGTAATAGCCCTTATTTTAGAAACTGGATGTGGGACAGGCCTTTCTCTTAATTTTCTTATTTACAAAACTTTTCCTAGGACCACTGGGCTACAAAGAACTTTCATATGCCTTTCTATTTTTCCATTTTTACCTTGCTCAGGTGATTTTTAATTTGGATTTCTTCCTCTGACTCATCTTCATTCATTCATTTATTCATCCAACAAATAGCTGAATGCCTACTATGTTCCAGGATAAAATATGAATAAACAGACACAGTTCTTGCACTCATTTTACAGTCTAGTGGACGACAGAGACAAGTAAACAGACAATTTCAAAAGAGCATGACCAAGTCCTCTAATGGGGCACTTGGGAATGGAGGAAGGCATCCTGGAGGAGGTGACACCTAACCTGAGACCTGAAGGATGAACAAGAGCTAGCCAAGAAAAGAGGGCAAGGGGTCACAAGTCTCTCAGGTTTCCAGGCTGAGAAAGAAAAGAAGGCCGGCAGGTATCTGAGGACCCGAAAACACAGAAGCTTGTTTATCTGGGATGTCTAGGAACGGATGTGTTATTATATAATAATGTTATTTCCAGAGGTTAGATGTATTTCACTCCAGAAATGCATAATGGTGTTTTAAAGGTACATTTTAATGCACAACATATAATTGTGCAGTTGCAATTCAATGCTTTAAAATAGCTGTCACCTACCAAAGTCTGTAAGTGAAATGAGCGCCACCACAGTGCATGCGTTACTGAGACTCTTCCCATCTGCTATGGCCTGGAATGCTGTGCATCCCTGATAGCTGCTTACAGCCTGGCAGCTCACATAATCACCATGCTTCAGGCACCAGAGCAAAAATCATACTTCAATTATTATAAAACAGCCTTTTTAATAGACAATTATGAAATGAAACGAACATTTTTTGGGGGAATAATTCCATTGTTTGAATGTTTCTAGGGTCTGCAGATCCCTTATTACAGTTCTATAAGGCTGGAGTAAACAGGGTTAGGCAGGAAGTGGCTACAGATGAGGCGGGAGAGGAATACTGTATCCAGTTCTCAATGGTCTTGCATACCATACTAAAAACTTTATTTTGAGGAAGGCAGTGGTGAACCAAAAGGATTTCTAGAAGGGACATGATGTTACAAGATTTATATTTTAGGAAGCTAGCTTAATTTAGCTGCGGTGTGAAAAGAGCTGGTGGTAGGCATGAGGAGACAAGGCTGGAAGCGAGGAGCTAGTTAGGGGGCCACTGTATTAATTCAGGCAAAGGATGGCAGTGGCCTAAGGAAAGGGCAGTGAAGATGCACAGAAATATGATGTTTACTTTACAGGCACTAGATAGCTAATTTGACATGGGGAATAAGGGAGAGGGGCGAGTTAAAAGATAAAATCTACATTCCTAGCTTGTGTAACCAGGAGAATGACAGTGCCATTCACTATCAGTCAGGAAGAGAAATGGGTTTCATAGAGCTATGATAAGTTCATTTTGGGGCATGCTGAATTAAAATTGTGAGTATTTATGGGATAACCAACAAAATCTGTGCAGTAGGCAGTCATCTATCTGTTTATCTATTGGGTCTTTGGAAACGTCATGACGCATGTTTGCAACAGATGGCGCTAGTTCATTTTTGGAAGTACTAGAGTCATTTGCATCTATGTTATTGCTATGTCATTTGACAGCTGACAGTTCTAGCTTCATTCTGAAAAAAATTGAGCGATTTGGTTGAGTTTTGGAGATTTTACAACAAGTTGAAGATGGAAGAAGACCAAATTCTGCATTTTCGCCATGTTTTACTGTTTTACTTCCATAAAGGGAAGAACGCGCGTCAAGCTTGTGAAAAGTTGTATAAAGTTGATGGTGACAATGTTCTACAAGAACGTCAGTACCAACAAGGGTTCACAAAATTCTGTGCTGGTGATTTTGATCTCAACGACGCTCCTCGGTTGATGACGACAAAATAAAGGCATTGATCGAGTCAAACCCACGTTACACGACACAAGAGATTGCAGAAACATTGAACATCCATCATTCAAGCGTTCA